TTGGATGCGTATTCATCGAGATCTATTTAGCCCTGGCGGATGATGCTGAGCACGATCAGATATATCGAGGGCTCTACCATGAGGTTGTTTACTCTCATCCAAATGGCATACCGCTGCCTTATGGCGCGTCACTCAAATTCCGAATTCTTGCGCTCCTGCGAGCAGTGGTTCCGAAGATGATGCGGAAAGACCCGAACTTGAGGCCCTCTGCCTGCGCAGTCGCCAACCTCATCTTGACTGATGAGAGTTTCAGCAAAAGTCCTGACCTATGCGTAGAATGTAGTGGATTCTCTATTTCGGGCGATAACAACGAATTACTTCGTCTGCTGCCAGCCACCATTTAGCAAGCTCACGGGCATGAGGGTAAAACAGGGGTCAAAATCCAGGCTCTCATAATTTACAGATGGATACAGATCTCTGCATACTATGGGGGATCTGGAAACTCACTTAGTCTACATCAATCGATACGACATCCATACTGGCGGGTCGCCTGCTCGCCTTATTTGGCATGTTCGACACACCGGAGGAATCTAGCATTGAACATCAAGTGTCATGTAGAGATCTCTCTTGGACTTGCTGAGCCAATAGACTTATGATTATCGACTCCTTCTCTAACTCTCTAAATCATTGGCATATCCTCCATACCCGGGAGATCCGTCAGCCAGCCATCATGCTCCTCATGCACACGGTTGGGTACAACACATTTGTTGCCATCAGCAGGCTGCTGCGTCTTCAAGCTACCGCAGTTCGCACCCATGCAGCCCTTGGCGTCATCCATAGCCTTCTGAAGCGAGTCGTCCTTCCAGCCGAAGACGTAGTCTCCATGCTGTCCATATCCGGTGTTGTCTCCCGTGGAAAGAACGAAAGGCTGAGAGCCATCGGCGGGCCACTCGGCTCTGTTGTTGAACTTGCTAGTGTCCCAGACGATCTAAAATGAAGTCAGCTTTGGTGTACGAGTGAGAGAGTCTTGGAACTTACCTCGAGCATGACCTGCGGGATCTTCACCGGGTGTGTTGAAGGACATGCGCCACCAGTGCCAGTACCAGAGAAGAGAGCGGGGCCATTGCTGGGGTATGCGACATGAGACTTGTGGTCCGGCGAGTCGAGGTTTTTTCCGTCCCAGCATCTATCGATGGGTCAGTGACATACAAGAATGGGTGCTGCGAGTGGTTTTACTTACGTTGGGTAAAGAATGTTGCTGCGTATGCCACCTGGGCAAGGTGTCGTAGGGAAGCCTTCGGTGTCGAGCCTTGATACGTTAGCATGTAATTGAGTATAATGAAACGTGCATCCTCACTTAGCATCCTGGCAAGGTGCAGCATTGTCACCACCAAAGTTAGGCGCGTTGTAGCAGCGAAAGCAGGTCTGAGACTTCAAATTCTTGGACTTGCGGTTGGTGGCATCACCCACGAGCATACGGAAGCCCTATGTCCAGTGTTAGATAACAGAGATGCATACATAGCTACCTTCCTTACGGGCTTGAAGGCTGTGACTTGGCCCTTGCCACCAGAGACGTAGTAAACGACGAATCCTCCAGTAGTCTTGCCGGTGTATTTGTCGTTGAACAAATCCCTATATCATGTCAGTACGAAGAACGACTGACTGTTGATTGAAATACTTACCTGTTAGGAATTTGAGGCACACGCTTGTAGGTTCCGTTACGTGCCTTGAAGTACACGTTCGCGGTCCAGTAGTTGGAAAGCTTTCATCCACTCTGTCAGCCATTATGCCCCACGCATACATCTTCCCATTTTGACTTACATCCTCAGAGTACCCGCATGTAGTGCAAGTCGCCAGCTTGGAGATATCGGTTGATTGCATTGTGATGTTGAAAGCGTTTCCTCCAACCACCTGATGCATATGTGGTGATGGAGCTTGGCCAGGGTTTACGAGGGGATCGATCCGATCGATGACATTCTGAGCGCAGCCAAAACGCAACATAGTGAAGCCCTGGCCGCCAAAGCCTTGAGGCATAGCCTGCGCGAGGGCGGCGAAAAAGAGAGTCGAGAGAAGCATGACGACTGAGAGGTTGATTCACTGGAGGATGCAGAGATGGATTGAAGAAGTACGGAAGGATGCAAGGAAGATGCAATGGCAGATAAAGTACTTCGAGAGATTTTCTATGCGGTGTTCACACGAGCCCGATGTGATCCAGGCGTGGAATGTTTGCCATCCATCTCACCTTCGACGTTTGCTATACAACTGCCGACCCCATCTTTACCAAAGTATACATATTGGGGTTACCACAAATTAACCTACTGTGTACGCCCTCGTGGCATGAAGGTAATGTCGGCAGTTGCGGAACTAATTTGCTGATCCCGCATTCGGCTAAAGGCTTGAGATTGCTTGACCAACCCGACCGACGTTTCGCACGACAGGTGGTACCGGAGCACGGGGATCGACGTAGCGTCGTGGGGAAGCTGGGGCATATTGCAAATGAGAAGATGTGGATGGAAATGGGGTCATCAGAAAGGCCGGAGTGATGGAATGAGGCATGAATTGAACTGCACTTCGCGTCCTACTCTACCATTGCCGTCATACGCTGACATCCCAACCTCATCAGTCCAAACGCGAGTAGAGCTAAGCAGGTGCAGGGATTGAGTCTGCAACAGCCTTGATTCCAGCATTCCAGATGTCGCCCATCCGCGAGTAGCCCGCAGCGTTCCTGTCAAACTGATTAGCTGATCGTTTTCTCGTAGACTATTACGCGGGTGGGATCCATTGCTTACGGGTGCAAGTTATCGCTCAGCTCGCTGCTTGAGTTGAGTACATTCATGTCGACAATCGAAACCTTTGATCCCTTGCTGACTCTGGCAGCAACGATAGCAGGCAACGCATTGTTGAAGGTCTTGATCGTCGCATTAAGACCAGACTGCTTTGACGGGATAATCTTAGCCACGATAACAACCGCATTCGGAACTGCCTTCAAAACATCATCGATCAAAAGTCCAAGTCGTCTCGGCGCATCAGCATCAGGTTCCGAAGCAGGGTTTCCACGGTTCAGGTCGTTGGTGCCGGCATGGAGCAAGACGACGTTTGGCTTGAATGCAAGACCGCCGGCAACAACACCGCGGATCTGTGAGATCGTGTATCCGGGGAAGCCTTGGTTGTCTTTATCGGCCATCGTTCCAGACTGTTGCGTGCCGACGAAGTCGACGGTGTTGCCAGAGGCCTTCAGGTCATTGAGCAGTTGCTGACGATATCCGTTCGTACCAGCGCCATTCATAAAACCCCAGGTGATTGAGTCACCTAGAGGCAAGATGCGGAGGTTGGTCGTCTTCCGCGCAACGAGCGCGTCGCGTGCTTCATGGGGAAGACCATTGGCAAAAGACAAGACTACAGCGCATCAGCTGTGTGTGTTCGTGATACATGTGGCACACTTACAGAATGCGAAGATGGCCAACGGCAAAGCCAACTGGTTCATGATGTTTGACAGCATGATGATCAGATATCGAGGTCTTGTCGAAAGCGCGAAAGCGACAGAGATAGGTAGAGCGTCCTTTTCATCTAAACCATCTCGCCAATATACATGCGTCCCCTCCCCCAAAGGGCACACATGTTTCGAATTCCTCCGTCAGTTTGATGAAGCCGAGAAACTAGCGCACCCTAAGTTCCATCAATCTGCGACACATCTTGATGATATGAATTCTCCGTAGGCAAAAGTACGGCTAAGATCTGACAAAAATGACGTCATCCCATCCGGACGATAGGCGACAAGTCGACTTCAGCGCGTGAGAAGCTGCTCATCAGCATCGTCGAATGGTGTCGATTGGTCTGAAATCTTCCGGACTTCTTTCTACCATTCTTTGGTGCTCTCTTTAGCCTCGGTTGCTTACCTTAATGTTGCGATGTGGAGAGCAATTTGGCCATTGATGTTTGACCCTAAACCTCCCCGCATGCTAACGCCGCTGGGGTTAGCTCAAGTAATTGCGGAATTGTGCACCTGTCAATAGCGCCTGGAATTCCTAGCCTCATTATCTCGCACGCCGACCGTGCGCTGCACGTCACAGCATTGAAGCTCCAAAGAGCCATTCCATTTAGCCCGTGGTGTACCCAAGGAAGCCATGGAGCTTCCGCCTTTCCAGTACCAGAGCTTGGCTGGGTCCAACCAGATCCGCCTCATCACAATCCTTCATCGCGAGCAAGAGTCGGCGATAGAACTTGAGCTCGAGCAGGTCGACTTCAACTCCGATCACAGATACGAGTGTTTGTCGTATGCGTGGGGACATGATGATTGTGGTCGATTCATTACGGTCAATGGCTCATCATTCCTGGTCAGCTCTACTTTGTATGTCGCGCTTGAGCATCTCAGGTACAGGTCGCAAGAGTGCAAGCTCTGGATTGATGCCATTTGCATCGATCAGGCCAACACTTCTGAGCGAAATAGTCAAGTCGCTATCATGAGGCAAATATACCGCAACGCAGCGCGCGTGATAATTTGGATCGGGCCAGCAACAGAATCGAGCGAACAGGCCATGGCATTCTTGAAGATAATGGCCAATGCTAAGAAAAATGAGGATCGGAACATGCGGAGAAACGGTGTCAGGGTAGCTAGTGATACGAGCTCAGAACTGGGTCCTGGACCGGATCGGTCACCTTGGAGTCTTCCTTCGGCTTCAGATCATAGCGTTGAGCAAGTGGATTTACCAGAAGAGAGTGTGTGTTCGAATTTTGGACCAAACAACAGAGCGATTTCCGGAGACGAGGATTCGGTCAACTCGTATGCCGCTTCGTTGGTTCGCGAAGCTAACAGTAGGCCACTGTCATTGCGCTCTACCAGAGCCTTGTGTGACGATGGAAACCAATCTAATGATTTTTTACGATGGAAAAGGCTTAAAACATACCTGAAGTCACTCTGGACGTCACTCAGATGGCGATATTCAGCGTATAAGAACGCTCGATGGAGCCGGAAAAGGTGGTCTGAGTTCGTGGACGCACACACTGCTATGGAAGCTACGAAGAATAATTTCACCATCACAGGATATCCTATACTATATAACATGTTCGGGAATCCTCACGAAGAGTACTTCAAGAAGGAATGGGATTCCCACTGGCAGGCTGTCGATGAACTACTTGCGCGCCCTTGGTGGGGCCGGACCTGGATCGTACAGGAGGTATGGTGTGCTTCAAACGCAGTGCTTTACTGTGGTGCTACGAAGCTCAAGTGGAAGAATTTCCAGAAGGCCATGGACTATGCTGAGGGATGGGACGATATGGGGGACCATGTAAAAGGCACGGGAAGGCAGTCGCAATGGGAGACCTTGCGGCGGCGGTATACGTTAGCGATACATCTTGCTAAAGCCAGAGTCAATGGCAGTACGCTATCGTCACTACTCTGGAACATCTGGGATCGCGCATCGACCGATCCAAGGGATAAGGTGTTTGCTGTATTGGGTCTGGTTGGTGAAACCAAAGATGGGTATCCCACCATGGCACCAGACTATCGGAAGTCGATGGAACAGGTGTATCGAGAGATTGCGCGAGAGATTATAATCAAGGAAGGTCGAATGGACATCCTACTTGCGGCAAGCGGTGTCAATAGTAACGCCGAATTACCATCGTGGGTGCCGGATTGGCGAAGCGAGGCTACCACGGGAAGGCCAATATTGCTGGTCAACCGCAGACTCTTGATGAAACTCGCATACTCTGGATCCATGGATATGGCCATATTAAAAGGGCATGGATACCTTGCGGCTGGCAATTCGGAGGCGTTCGCTCTGTTCAGCGACGACCTGAGGGCACTTACGGTATTGAGTAAGAAGTGGGACAGTATTGCGGAAGTTTGCGATGCAGACATCACTGCGACGAGCAACGATGAATTCATGGATCAGATTTGTGAGTTCATTCTCCGATCGAAGTTCATATCTAGCAGGAGACGACGGAGGGAGTTGACCAGAAGAGAGCACGCCACCGATTCTCAAGAAACATCCATGCTGATGGCCACACTCACTGGTGGAGGAAGAATATGGCATGACGAGTACGCACCCACCATGCGAAACGTGATGCGGCAACGTCGGCTTTTCATAACAAAGAATGGGCATATTGGGATCGGACTAGTAGACGCTCAGCCTCACGATGTGGTCTTTATCATCTCTGGCTGCAATTTTCCGATAACACTTCGACCACGGGAAGATATGTTCGGCGTCGTTGGCGAAGCCTACAGTGAGTTTCTGAGATAGCGTATCTCGAGGAAAGCTGGCTAACATGGCATGATGCAGTTCACGGATATATGAACGGTGAAGCTTTGGCTCGTCCATGGTACAAAAGATGGATGCGAGTCTGGAAGAAGATCACACTAGTCTAAGATAAGCGATCTCGAGCTGACCTCAGCTCATTCGGTTTCCCCATCACATGATCATGCAGCATCCATTCCATCTGTTCCTTTGCTCTACATGAGAGTACCCACCCATATCGTAGCCATTACCGTGCAGTCACGCTGTAGTTGGAAGTTCACCAAATCGGTATTGTGCCCAGCTCAGACTCACCTCAGGCATCGTCCAGAGCTGTTCACCAGAGCTCTCACCTGCCGCACCAGCAGCGACATACATGGGGAGGATATGGTCGAGCGTTGGATGCGCTTGTCTCCCATCACTGCGCTTCATAAGGTCCAGCAGGTTCTCCTTGCGTTCTTCTGGATTGGAAGTCACGGCGTTCTTGAGTGCATCATCGAAGGTGGAGGAGTAACTGCAAGGGATCAGTCAAGTCTCCCAACGACGATTCAATCAGCTAAACGGTGCACAGAAATGACGTACGGCATATTTTTACCCGATCCTCGAGACTTTCGGTAATCCTGTAGGTTGTGAACTGCCATTCCAGCACCTACGATCAGTATGCCTTCGTCACGGAGACTCTGGAGCGCCTCGCCCATGCGATAGTGGCGACCGATATCCTCGTTGTCGAAGAGGGAGACTTGGACGATGGGCATGTTCAGAGGGTTCTTATTGGGATCGAAGGCTGTACTAACACGTTAGAATGGAAACAACCCCATCAATTACAACAAGGCGATCATACCGACAACAAAGCCTGCCCATACCCCATGATCAAGCCCTCGCTTCACCTTCTGCACCTCGATGCCGGCGCCGCCCAGCTTCTCAATGACCTTGTTCGCAAGTTCAGGGCTGCCTTTGTTCGGAAATTTGTACTCGTAGTAGTGAGGTGGAAACCCGAAGAAATCATAGATGATATCGGTGTCCTCTGCGGCGTTAATCTGGATACGATTTGGGCTATCTTGCCAGTGTGCAGAGAAGACGACGATCGCTTTAGGCTTGACTTTGGTCGTAATCTCTCTACCAACCTCGCCTAACTTCGCGTAGGCAGGATGCTGCGTGTTTTCCATAAAGTTGGGTCCGCCGATACTCAAGAAATAGACTGGCATCCGTGAGGAAGGGGTGATGGTAGTATTAGACATCTTGATTGTTTTGGGAGGACTTTCTTGGAAGGCGATGGTGATTCTGGTAGCAGTTTGGTAGAGGAACGGGATACAGAGGCTCACTACGAGGATGGTCAAGTATGTGGGCGACAGCGCCAAGAGCATGTCTTGCTGGGCAGTGCTAAGCTACCAAACGTCGCAGAACAAAGATGATTGGGACTAGGCAATGAACTGGCAGTAGAGTAGGGGCATCGCCGAGACTATGATTGAGTGGATACTAGCTGCCAAAATCGACGACGTTGGACAATTGGAAAGACGACAATGTTTGCAGGTGAATGCACCTGGTTCTTGCAGGCAGCAGCAGCATTCGGAGTCGTATATCCTGCCGCTTCCGATATACTCGAACTTGTCTCATGCGTTCTGTATGGAAGACCGATTACACAATGCTGGTGCAACCGCGCGGTCGCTGTAAGGGCTTTCCCGTTTCGGCTAGATGATAGACATTTACCCTCGACCCCCGTCACAACCGCGCGGCTTATGTAAGTATCTTCACGTGCAGTATGCTTGATTGCGACGCACCCTGCTTGAATCACTGCACGCCCTACTCATACCCGCCATACTGGGTCGCGCGGGTTGCGAACTTCTGCCTGATGAGGTGTGTTTCCCTCCCGCGCGGCATGCACTGGACATCCTATCGAACATGCCTGGGCGCCGACTCTTGGCAGCTGCTTAATCTTTCCAGGCTCACCCGCGCGGCTTGTGGGTCTTTTACAATAGAACTTCTGACACTGAAGGCGACTCCAATATTGGTTCGCATCGTGATTTCCGCGCGCGGTCCATCCCACCACTACGGCACCCAGTGTCCCCCGCAGTTTGCCGCCCAGCATCTCTTCGACTCGTACGACAGCACGAAGGCACAACCATGCTAGATCCGAGACAACGTGACAATAGCACAAGCACATTGACTGCAAACGGAAGCCATCTCTGTTCGCCATGCCTTTGCTTGACTCGCGTGTCCCGAGCGCACTTTCCAATTAGTATGATACCCTCGTCCTGGCTCCGAAAAGAAGGCAGAAACTGAAGACTCTTCTGATATAAAGACACTGCGCGTCGGCATCTTCACGTACATGTCGCCCATCTCTTCCTTCGTCTCCAAACTCTTCTGTTTCGGAGCCAAGTCCAAATCTACCACAAGCACAATCTCAGAACCCTCTCCACAATCATACCCCACTCACATCAGATACACAAAAATGGCTCCTGTGGTCCTCATCCTCGGCTCTGGTCCTCGCGTTGGTGCATCTGTTGCCCAGGCTTTCAAGAACAGCGGCTACAGCGTCGCTCTTGCGTCCCGTAAAGGCACCAACAGCGAGACTGAAGAAGGATACTTCTCCATTAAAGCCGACTTTGCGTCTCCCTCCAGCCTGCCCGATGTCTTCTCTGCCGTCAAGTCGGAGTTTGGCACTGCCCCAAGCGTCGTCATCTACAACGCTGCCGCCCTGACTCCTCCTTCGGACCCAACCTCTGTCCTATCCGTCTCTGCCGAGGCTGTCACCAAGGACTTGAATATCAATGTTGTCAGCCCGTACGTGGCGGCACAGCAGGCGCTCGCAGCCTGGGAGACACTTCCCGAAGACACTAAGAAGACCTTCATCTACACTGGCAACGCCCAGAACGAACTCATCATCCCCATGCCGCCCATGATGAACTTGGGTGTCGGCAAGGCTGCAAGCGCGTACTGGGTCGGTCTTGCTGACACGCTGTACAAGTCCAAAGGCTACCGGTAATCATCTCGAATACATGCGTGTATGGTCTTGTCACTGACGTTTCGTGATTCAGATTCTTCTACGCCGATGAACGTCATCCTGATGGCAAGTTCAAGGGTATGGCACTCGATGGCCCTGCCCATGGCGAGTACTATCCACAGTTGGCGCAGCACCCTGAGGGCGTGCCATGGCAGGCCACTTTCGTGAAAGGCCAGGGATATGCCTCTTTCAAGTGAAATTGACACCGCTCTCTTGACTAGTGAGGAATCATTCCCTTTGAAGTGAGCGAATCGAGGTACGGAAATCGGACGCGAGGCGTTGCGTAGGTGACGTGGTTGTCGGTCCCATTAGTCGTTCATTATACTGCTCGCATTATATTGTTCGTAGTCAGCAGAATAATTCATGCTACCATCAAACGATCTGAACATGTGTTGCATGTGTATGAGACGAGCTTTTCTGAGTGCCTCTAGATATTGTTTGTATGTTCGTTGTCAAGGAGGAAGATTAGACCTGGCGATCAATCAAGTGGGTTCATGAAGTATGACATCACCTAGACTAACAACACCAAGTCTCCTTGACTCCTGAAACACGTCGCCAGATCCCTGATTTCCGTATCGCCTGCGCGCCTTTTTGACCACACACTTTCCATAACTTCCAATGCTTTACGAACCGTACCGAACACGCTTGGAGGTTGTAGTGCCTGAACCATTTCCCGCAATTGCGCTTCCTGCTCCGGCGCCGCCAGACAGCCCGCCACGCAGAACGGCCATACCATGGAGCGCAGCAACGCTGGCGGCACAATCTGCTGCGTCAGTAGCTCGATGATCTTTCCAACGTGATATCGGACGTCCAAGCTCGCCGGCTGCCATCCCGACACAACGACAAACAAATACAAGAGTGCTGCGTGTGCCCAGACACGGGTCGCGAGGATAGTTTGGCGCGTTGGTGTTCTCCGTTGATGTCCAAAGTCCGAAGCGAACATCTCTAGCAAGCTCGACCCTTCATTGGAAGGGCTCATGGGGTCATTCTCAAGCTGCAAAATATATTCTTCAACAGAAGCCTTTATGGCTGTGGCGCGCCGGACCAGCTCCATAACGTCGAGGCTTCCTGCGCGATGGGATTGTTGCTTCCATGCATCGAGGGTGGCTATCTCGCCGACATAGAGGAGTGCCCAATTCTGACACCCTACTGTTTCCTCGAGGTTGATGACGGCTTCGGAGCTACTGGGTGTATAGAGCAGGCTCCGATGATAGCTGTATAGGCGAGGCTGTCGTTGAAGAATGGTGGCCGCGACGATGTCGTCCAGGATAAGGAGGGCAGAAGAGAAGCGAAATGCTACTTGTTCTGCGATGGGGGCTTGAAATATCTCGGCTGGATCGATCAGTGTGGTGGGGTTTAGACGATCCAAGACTGCATTGAAGCTTGAGCTGGGACATACTGGTGTCATGGCGTCGACGCTCTCGAGAAGCTGCATGAAGAGTGCTAGTGCGGCGTTCAAGTGTGCCTGGCAGTTGTTGAAGCTCAGAACGGCTACTTCAAACCTTTGCACTTGCATAATGCTGGCTAGGATGCGTACCGTACCGTGCAAATGCTCCATCACGCCTGCGTCACTAATCACCTGAAGTGATAATCTCAGTACCTCGAACGCATCTCTTGTCTGGTCGAGAACCTTCTCCCAATTCGCTGCCCCTTGTGCCAGCGACAGGAAATAAGAGCTCTGGCATAAAAGTGCCTGCTTCACGACCGGACTGCTGATCATCATCTCCAGGATCCATGTCCGACCACCCTGCAGCAGCGACGGGCGGTAGAAAGGGAACAAGAACGGGAACAGATTCTCGAGGTAGAACATGACGAGGATCGCATCCGAACGTCCGATCGCCAAACGCTCTCATGTCTCCTTGCCCGCGAGCGTGCAATCTGGGCCCCTCTGGCGCAACCTCGCCAACGAATGAGGAGTCGTTCCTGCGCTACCAACTAGCAAGTTGCACGTTGGAGACGCTGAAGCCCTTGGTGTCTGGGGTGGCAGCATGACGCAGTCTCCATTGATGGCAGTTGCGGGCGACACGCGTTCGCTACTACTCAGAAACGGTGCGCTGCGACGACGATGAGCATTCTCTTTGACTTCCAGTTTGAGTGCCTCGGCCATTTCCTCTTGTTTGGCGCCACCGTCCATCCATTCTGGCTTTGCAAGATCGAAGTGACAGGCGATCATGAGAGACGAGCATACGTCACAGATGGGGCGCTTCTCGTCGCATTTTTTGCGGCGGAGGCGGCACGTCCAACAGCCTGTGAAACTGCGGATTGTGTGAGTTTCCATAGCCGTGTTCGTATTGTTCCTTCAAGTGTGTTCGTCAACTTGAGCTTCGTGCGATTATCGTCATGAAGCACTTGTTTCGGAGTTAAGAACGAGGTATTAGAGAGCTAGAGGGGAAACTTCCCAGGTCCAGGGCAATCAGGCGGCAGGTAGCACAAAGAGTGGGGCTGTTCATGCAAGCCAGCTCGCACCATGCATGTCAACAAAACAAGAGAAAAAGGGCGCGTGGGATAAGCTTGTAAGCACTAATATATTGAGGGGCAGACAATTGGCTCGGTTCAGGCGAGCTGAGGACTAATCCGTTACGTGCAGGTTGAACTCACTTCATCTTTCCAAGCTTCCGATCAGATGATCAAGGTATCTGAACTGGGTGATACGGTGAGATGTGACTAGACAGACTCTTACGCACACATTCGTTCTCCTCGAACCTCCTACTGCACGGCAACAACCGAAACGCCCTCCTCTGGCAGTGGCACGGCTTCCTTTCCGAAGGTTCCAAACTTGTAATCGGGTACACGGCCGTAATCCTCCAGGACGGGATTGGACACCTCGATAGCCCACTTACCACGTGAGAGCATGTCGTCACGGAACTCCGTGACGAGCTGCTTCAGATCATCACCCGTGGCAGCTGTATCTCGCACACGGGCAAGGGTTCGTCCGAGCTTCAGCGCATCCGTGAAGGCGCAGACACCGGCCTCACCACGGACTCGAAGACATTAGCAAACGTACTAGTTGGTGAATTTGTGATGCAGACTTACAAGGTGTCATAGAATGAGCTGCATCGCCAATGACGACGACCTTTCCAGCAGGTAGTTGTTCAGCGGTCATTTGTACGCCCTGGAGTTGAAACCCAGGGCTGCTGTATCCTTCAATGGGGACTTTGTCAACAAGCTCCCGGAGGTGGTTTGGATACGCCTTCGTCTTCTCAC